TAGTCCTGCACACCTCAGGGAGCCATCCTCCCTGTGCACCTGAAGAATTCTCCCCTGGTCAGAACCTGACCTCTTAGAGCCCTTTTTATACTTCTCTGGTACTTTTATCTGGTTTCTGGAGGCCTGAGCAGGGATGCAAGTGTTTCTACTATGTTTTAATTTTTTTCATAGATAGAAAATGTAAGAAGCATGGTAGAAGCAACAAGAGTAAGCAGGAGGGTACACCAAGGTTTGAGAGACTGATGTAGCAGGTCTTATCAACTGCAGAACTGCATTAAGGGGGGATTTGCTTCTGGTGACCTGTACAGATCTCATGTCATGCCTTATTCAAAGTCCAGCTTTACTATTTGTATTGCAGTAGCACCTTCAAGACCCTATTAGACCTCCATCTATCCCTTCCCACCCCCCTCCCCAAAGAAAACCAAATCAAAACTCCCTGCCTCAGAGTCTTTTGTTTCTTGCCAAATGCTAAGATTAGACTGATGCAACAAATCAATAACTATCCTTGACTTCTATTTTTATAGTGAGGGGTTTCAAAACATACCCTCTGAATCAATTTTCTAAGTGCAAGTAGGATTGAATGAATAAATAAAGACTAAGTGAATTAATTTTGGGTACCATTCAGAGCTAAGCACTATTGTGTCCGTAGGCACATGCAGAGTGTAATTGCTGCTTATTAAACCTAACTAAATCCAGCTGTTACTCAGCAATGGAAGGTCCAAACTTTTTACATTTTAAAATGAAGGGTATCTATTTTTGGTTGTTTCACTTGTTAATGTTAGAAAATGTTTGATCTCCAAAAGAGGGTGGTTGTCTTAATAATGGTAAATGCCTCAGAACATTACACGTTATGTCTCCATGTTTATTATCCCAGGCAGTGCTGTGCTAATTTGGCTGCATTGCTTCTAGTACCCAAGACAGCTCTATCTCCATATGGTACTGCATTGTGCTGTGTAGCCATATCCTAAAACATCTGTGGGAAACTGGCAGCTTTGATTTGTAGTTGGATGCATACTGTTTGCCTGCCTTTTGGTCTGCTTTTGTTATAGACAACATTAATGGATTTTGAAAATGAGGAGTCTAAGGGCCTTCTTGCACCTTACGCTGTGAGCTGCATAAATGTTGATCAGTGTTAGTTCTAGCTTGATGTTTGGAGAAGTTGCACCCTTAGTTTAGAAACCTTCTCTGACTGTGTCCTTCTCCTTCACAGCTGTGACTTGCTGTTAGAGGCCTGGTCAGCAGGGGCAGGACTAGGAACTGCAGTAGTGAGTTGCCAATACAGTGCTGATGAGCCAGGATGGGCTTCTATCCCTGCTGCATGGGTGGGGAGATCCTGGGATACTTCAGGGTTGAGAGATCCCAGGATACTGCAGGATTTCACCTTGGGTGGCGCATCTGTGGGGAGTGGCCACACCTTAATGGACCAGGAGCTAGGTAATGTGGATCAGAGAGAATCCTGGCCTAGAGTGCTGTAAATTTGAGCTACATAACAAGTGCTTAAAACCAATTTAAGGTATTAATGTGCAGACAGTCCAGGGGTTAAGCGCTCTAGGAGCCATCCAAAATTACCATGCAACAAGCCCCTAACTCCCTGTTAATACCATACCTCCATAATACCTACTTAGACAAAAAAAGGGCTTCCAGAAGGACAGAGGAATATGCGTATGTTTTTGGATCAGGTCCATAGTACATAGCCACAGCTGAAATGTATAATGGAAGACCAATGAGACTTATTTCTGCGTCCCTTCAAATATTTTGTTCTGTCATAGCATTGCTTATACATTTTTAGGCATAGTAAGCTAGCATACCACATGTCCCTCACCCTTTCCCAAAAATAGTTCACAGGCTTCATTTCACAACCTGTTTTTGAGAGGGATTTGTGTGTCCTTGAATTCCTGTTTATAGTGACTTGTTTTTGTTGTTTTCTTCCAACCAGAATAGCTTAAGAAAGCTGCCAATTTGACCCACAGACCCAGTTTTTTAAGAAGTGCTTGGTCCTACATTCTCAGCCATTTTTAGATACTTAGAGTTCCCACCTAAATACCTTTGAGAATCTAGGCCTACAGTCTTGCAGCCCTGAGTGGAGTAAGCGGCTTAGTCAAATGCATCTTATTGTAAGGCAGTAGGATTTGAGAGTTTAATTTGCTTTTGAAAACTGGACTTGCCCATTTAAGTGACATAAACTGTATCAAAGCATTGCCTAAATAGCTTTCAAAATCTGGGTGCAGAAATTTAAATCTACAGTTATAAAGTGCCATGCTAATGCGTGTTAGCTACAGCATTAAAGTTATTTGAATATTCCTACCAATTTGAAAATGTCTCAATCTGAAAGTTTTGGTCATATTCTCAGATGTGCTTAGCACCTCTTGTGAAGTGCTGGGAGTCCTCAATTCTGTGTTAGTCAATGGGAGGTGATGACATCACTTTGTGAGATTTGAGAGAGATTTCCAATTTAGTTGGTGTATAAGGTGCAAATACCCTGCTTTCTGCCAGCTTCAGACTAACGCATCTACCTACCTCTCCATGTAATTATCACTTGGAGTAAATTTATAACAAGTTTTGACTCTGACTACTACTCTTATGTCTAAGAGAGAGTCTTTACAACTTGGCTGTCAGATTCTTTAATTATAATTGTACTTTAAATCTCTCTCTAAATCATTTTGCATCTAAGCATATTTGCAAGCCAAGACTGTCTGGTGTCTTATTCTGTTAGTCTGAGGGATGTAGTCAAAATATACATCAGTCAAGGTACAAGCAAATTCACAAATTCTTTATGGAAAAGTGCACCTTATTCTGTCATTTCAGATTTTATTGTGCTGTTTCGTGTGGCTTTGAACCTGCTGTTTTTCTCCAAGACTAGCTCTATCTATTGGGATCCATTCACCCTGCAGGAATAGACCCTAAAATCTCATGCTTTTCAGAAACACCTTCTTTTCCTAAAGTGCTATTGATAAGTTTAACCTTGGGTTTCTTTTGTGCATAATAGCTGAAATCAGGCCCATAAGGTTCATTTAATGATTTGGTATCTACGCTCTTTTAAAAGGGCCAGTTCTGGAATGTTAACAGGATGCCATCCATGGTTGTATACCTTCTGGAGCAAGAGCTTTCTGTTCTTCCTATGCAGCACAGTGGCATGTGTACTAATAGTCCCTTCACCTTTTGAAAATTATAGAGGCTTTTATGGGGCAGCAACAATACTCCCGAGGGAGAAGAACAAGAAGGTATATTTAGGAGAATCAAAGGTCGATTTTTAAGTACCCATATTGTGCCTATAATTAAGATTCTTCTATATTGCTACCTTTGTGACTAACCAAAGTCTAACTGAAATCAGTTATTGTATATCTTGCTATCTTTTTTTCTTTACTCTTGCTGTATTAAAAGTAGGTTATACTTGAAACTTAGGCAAAACACACTTGATCCATCCAATAGAAGCAAAAAAATGTATATGGTTTGCAGCTAGAACTGGATGAAAGCAGCTTTGTATCTTATGTGGTTATTCGGTGCCACCATCTTACCACATTAATTGACTTTGTTTCACAATAGCTTCAAGAGAAGCTTTGTGTAAGTAGCTGCAACATTGTAAAAACACTTTATTTCAAGTCCCTCTCTTTTTAATTTTTTTTTATAAAGTACTTGATATGCTTTCTGCTGCATCTTCCTCTTGAGACGGCTACTTAGCTGTTTCCCTGCTAAATACGTTTTAATACAAGTTGCTTAGGTCTTTATCACTGGAAGTGAGCTAAGGTGTGTACAAAAGGGAAGATGATGCTGTGGTTGAAGACATGTCTGTGTAGAATGGAGAGTAAACATAATGAGTCTAGGGGACCGGGGGGGTGTACACTACACTAATCAAAAAGGATGCGTTGCAAAACAGTCACTAACAGGCATAGGATGGGGCAAGATCTTGCCAAAATCGAGCTCACCCAGTTACATTCTTTGGATGTGATTAGCATTTGAAGTCCTCAGCTTTCCAGCTAGATGGTATTGATACATTATTAGCCAAAATAAA